AGCGGCAAATCCGCATTCGCGTCGAGTATTCTTGTTGAAAAATATACTCGACTTCCTATACAGACTTTCTACATTATCCGCCTTCGTTCTCCCGATCGAAAATTTTCCATCGTTTTATCGTATTTTAATATCTTTCCACGAGATCTTACCGACTCTTTCGTTATTAACTCATCGATAAGATCGTTCGTTTTTCCATTCTCTATTTCTTTTTGTGCGCACCACGACGATTATTAATCATCGTCGCTCGTTTCTTATTATTTCCCCTTTATTTCATTCCAGTCAAAAGCTTTGCCCACGGGTTTCGTAACCAAATACGCTTCGAGGAGCTATAAAAAAAATTCACACTCGCGGGAAAATTTGCATACGCGTCGATCGAGGTGCGCCACCAGTTGATTCGATCACTAGGCCTAATCCTCGATCGCCTAAATTCCTAATGTAATCGCGACACCGTGTTACGATAGGTGCAACCAGTACACGGTAAAACGATCTTGCCAACGTTTGAAATGTCGCAGAAATATTATCACGCTTGATTTTATATACATTCGCCAGCTCGATTTTTTCCTCGTTTCGATCTTTTCGAAATGTCACAACATCATCACACGTTAATTTCGATATTTCAACCTTCTTTTTCGATTTCTCTGATTCCAACTCTAATCCCGAAACTAGCGCTCGACGGATATTGGGAATAATTGTTGCGCAACGCAGACAAGCGTTTAGTTACATAAAGCGGAATTGTAGAAATTTCTGCCTATCGCGATATTGCCTATCTAGATCACGATACAGCGACACGCGACCAGACGAGGCCGCCAGTCAATGGCAAAGAGGCATAAACCTTTGCGGTATTTATAGCATACATTTATAGTAGCTCATATTCTTTCGTATTGGATAAGTTGTGCAGGAGAAATATAAAAGTGTTTCTGTTCGTGGCGGGATGACCCCGGATAGCCGAGGCCATTGGAAGAATCGCGTTATCGGAATCTCGTTAACCGAACGATCCGATACATATATATATATAGGACTCGTCCATTGTATGAAAATCACATTGATTTAGGCTACGTTGTTCGTTGGGCGTTGAATTTTATTCAAATTGATTGATAAATATCTCACGTTGGATCGATGTGCGATTCATTCACGATTAATAATTTTAATTGAAAAATGCGCGTGCCGGTAATTCTTTTAATTCTCTGGAAAATTCTCCGCGTGTTGTCCGTGTCTCCGCGTCACGTTTGATCCTATCCTCGTTGTTAATTAAAAACGAACGCGAATGGAATTACGATAAATAAGTAAGTGTATCGGATGATCTCGGTGTGTTTCGATACAAACAAGCATAAGTAAATACTGTTTTTGCAAATCCAAAGTTTTTCTCTTTAAATTTTGTTCGATCAATTACGCGTGTTTTAATTGGGAATACGGGAAAACAAAAGATACGATTTACTTGCTTCCCCAATAATTTTATTTCGCCCTTCAGCCTTCTCCTTTCGTTAATTAAAAAACTTCGGATTTTCCAAAAATCCGAATATAATCTTCAAAAAGAAATAATATCCACCAAAAGATAATCCAGCAAAACGTCGATCAGATTCCCAGGTGTACGCGACAAGGTGGCAGACGGCATTTACCTAACGAGCCCACCCACCCCGAAAAAAGAAACACCCTCTCCACCTGCCTAACGTTTCATAAACGAGAAAAGAAAAAAAACCAACCCAGAGAGAGAGAGAGATCCTTCTTTGAAGAAACAACGTTGAAAAGCGTTACTTTCGCGCGAGGCCTTTTCCAATTTCGCCTAGCTCCGCGACGAGAGCGGAAAAAGATAGGAAGAGAGAGAGAGAGGGAGAGGGCGGGGCTCGTTTCTGCACCCATCGGTCGACATATATAAAACTTGAACAGTCGAAAAGCCTCCCTCTCTCGACGACCGCGCTTAATCACCGGCAATGCACGCGTGGAAAATAATTCTCGGCGCACTCCACCCCCTCCACCCCGTCCACCGCGTTCCAATGAAATTCTCCGCTCAAACCCCCTCCCCACGCACGCGTGCACACGGGCATGACCCAAAGGGTTTGCACAGCTATTCCTGCGTTCTTGGTACAATTAGGAGTGTTGCCGTCGTAGACCACGACCACGACCACGACGACGCGAATGGAAAGAGCGAGGAGCGAGGAGGAGGAAAAGGGAGCGCGGATTCGGGGGATGATGGTGGACGAGGGATCGATATGCACCTCGGCAGCGTCGTCGTCGCGACCGGATGTAGGAAGAGAGCATCCACGCGGCTCGCAATCTTTCGAAATGGGGAAACTTGTCGCGCGGAATCTTTCTTTTTCGGGGGTGGGGAGGGCGAGGGAGCGAGGGAATGGAGGGAAGAGAAGGGAGGCAACGAGGCAAGAAATTGGTTTTATCACGAAGGCGTTTTCGAGAATATCGCGAAATGATAGTGTGGAGCTATGTCGGGGAGGGGGAACGCGATTTTCATTCGCGGGGATGGAATGATTCGATAGACTCCGTGCTCCGTTGTTGGAGGGCGGTATCGATGCGCATCTGATAGGGTGATCGAGTGGCTTGTTATTTGGGATTTTACGTGTGTCGGGGTTGAAACGATGGAGGAGGTATTCGACCAGGACGAGAGGTATTATTAATTGTATCTAGTTGTGTATTTAACACTAAGGAACAATTGGTTTAATGATTAATGAAATTAATGTCGATTTTTTTCTCCTTGTGCACGCATTTAATTTTAGGATTAAGCGATAGGAAACGAAAAGTTATATATATATATGTTAGAGTATATTAATTGTAGCTAACAATTGGTTTAAAGATTAAAATTAATATCGATTTTTTTTTTTTATTTGCATACATGCACGTATAATTTTAGGATTAAGCGATAGTATATGTATGTTAGGGTATATTAATCGTGTCTAGTTAACAATTGGTTTAAAGATTAAAATTAATATCGATTTTTATTTGCATACGTATTTAATTTTAGGATGTTAGGCTATATTGTGTCTAACAATTGATTTAAAGATTAAAATTAATATCGATTTTATTTGCATACGTATTTAATTTTAGGATGTTAGGCTATATTGTGTCTAACAATTGATTTAAAAGATTAAAATTAATATCGATTTTTATTTGCATACGTATTTAATTTTAGGATGTTAGGGTATATTGTGCCTAACAATTTATTTAAAGATTAAAATTAATATCGATTTTTATTTGCGTATTTAATTTTAGGATGTTAGGGTATATTGTGCCTAACAATTGGTTTAAAGATTAAAATTAATATCGATTTTTATTTGCATACGTATTTAATTTTAGGATGTTAGGTATATTGTGTCTGACAATTGATTTAAAGATTAAAATTAATATCGATTTTTATTTGCATACGTATTTAATTTTAGGATGTTAGGGTATATTAATTGTGCCTAACAATTGGTTTAAAAGTTAATATCGGTTTTTTCTTTTTATTTGCACACGTATATCAATTGTGTCTAGCCATATAAACATATAACACTATCAAACAATTGGTTTAAAATTAATATCTGTTCCTTCTTTGAATACTCGTAATACAGTTTTGGGGTTAAAGGACGATGGAAGCGTGGAAAATGGGAAACGTACTTTTCCTCGCGTCGGAGCGGAAGTGTAGATGGCGGGCGAAATTGATATCGTTTTTAATATACATTGGCCGTCCGGTACAGACTGTTGTGTTACGGGTGAGTAACGGCATTATAGATTTGCGGTGCGCCTCTTTCCCACGTCTGTCTCGTCGCTTCCGGCATACCGTGTACATACATACGTACGTACCGGCAACGCCACTCCATCAGGACTCATGGCTATAAATATCGTCGTCCGTAACACTCTCGTGAGACGATTTTTAAATCGGATAAGAGAATTCGCATTCCTCGAATTCAACTTTATTATTGTTCGATACGAGATGGTAGGAAGGTTGAATGACGATTAAAAGAGAAAGAAAAAAAAAACGCTCGTTAGTCTTTAATGAGGCCTGGTGCGTGATGAATATTCACACGATTCGTTGGAAATTTCAGCGATTGAAGATAGCTCGAGAAGAATTTGAAACGGTGATCTTTAAATTTTTTAGAATATTGTTTTTAGAACGTTGATTCTCTGAAATTGAAGGAGGAAGCGATCTACGGTGATTTAAGATCGTTCGTGACGATCTCGAGAAAATCACGGATTAAATTTAAAGCGTGGTCGTTTAAGAAAAATTATTCTTCGACGAATATCACTTCTTCCAACGACCGACGAGTTCACTCGAATTCGGGGCTCGGCTGGAAATAGCGACGAGAGAGAAGATCAAGGTTGGCCTTAAAAACTCGTCCCGCCACGGATCGATGAATTACACCGAAAGGTCTTCCACCTTTTCACGCTAGACCGTTTGTACACTTTCTATTTGGAAATTTGCCAACACCTCGTAACGGGAATGTATAAAATCGGTCTTGGCCGATTGTCACGACACCGTCGTCGCGATTCCTCTTTTCCTTCCCCACATTTTACCCGTTATAAATCGCGTGTATGATCATTGTTACGCGCGTGAAATTGTTTATCATGTGGGAAATACGTGTTCGATTATACCGTTATTACGTCGCGCTATAGAATTCGCTACACCATATGAGCGCTACAAAAGATTTTCTTTCCTTCCCGATTCATTATTATTCCATTGTCTCGACACTGTCTTAATTCGTGTTTTAATCATACCGATGAAATTTCTCCGTCGATCAATCGCAATTACGACTTGCGAAACGTTAATCCTCGCGAAATATTCGAACGCGTCAGGCTTCGCGTATCGTGTGTTGACGTCAATCGTTGTTTGCTTCTGAACCACACGTTCCCGTGTCATTTGACCCACCTTGGCGCAATCACGCGATGAGTCAGTCGTTCTCGCGCAAGGAGGAGGATAACACAGCTCGAGAGTAGCGCGCAAACACTTTATATCCTTGGCCGTTTCCAGCGATTCGATCGTATATCGAGATATTGATCATTTTCGATGTTTTCAGGTCACGTATTCGGCGGACCTCGCGATCGAGATACCGGGAAACTTGAGCCAGGGAGGTTCTTGGTACCGGTTGGACTACAGCCCTGCAGTTGGTTATCCACCACCCAACACCACCATAGCCGCCATCGACATAGGCGACGTGATAAAGTTCAAGGACGGTCTGCCCGGCACCAAATACGAATTTTGGTTGTACTATAGCAACAGCAGTCTCCACGATTGGCTAACATGGACTGCGTCCATAACTACGGGTATAATTGTTTGCTTTCTCTCTCTCTTTTTTTTTTTTTTTGAAAGAATAATTAATTAAAATATTCGTTCGATCAAGTGTTTCGTCATTTGTCGATGAAACTTTGTTTGCAGACGTTTGAATCGACGTTTCTTATTCCGACAATGCGTAACAATTTGAAGAAAAAGAAAAGCTAATCGCCTGATGTCTGTTCCGATGTCGTTCCGAGCGAATATCAATTTTGTTGAAATCTTCGATTGGAAAACATGTTGTGCATTCATTTGTCTTACGTTATTAACCGGCGACTATTAACTGCTCGAAGAATGCTTTTCACGAACTTTGTTTGCCTTCCAACGACAATATTATCGCGAAACGAGAGATTGTACACTGCTCTTTCTTTTTCTTTCCAACGAACAACCGATTATTCTCAAATATATATACATTCTCCCTTCGTTCGTACGATAAATTTGCCAAATTCTCGAACGTCAATTACGAACGTCGATACAATATAAAGATCCTTGATTGTCTTTAAAATTCGTCTTTCAACTCTCGAGCTCTCGTTTCCTTCGAAACTCGACAATATTCAATCCTCCATTCGCGGATGATATAATAATAACACCGACAACAATGGAGGCGGCATTAAAACTTCTAACGAGGCTCGTGATTTAATCCTCTCGAATCGGTTGGGCCTCGGTTCAATGGAAAGTGAAAAACGCGGTTTTTTTCAGCCCCGGATCCGCCCTCCAACCTCACCGTCTCGGTGCGAAATGGGAAGACGGCGATAGTCTATTGGGCGCCGCCTGCCCAGGGCAATTATTCCGGGTTCCGGTTGAGGGTGCAGAGCTTCAGCGACACCGGAAACCCAAAGACCAGCGTGATACCCGCGGACGCGGTCCCATACGTGCTCCGCGACCTAATACCGGGGGCCACGTATTCCCTCCAATTGTTCACCGTGCTCGACACCAAGGAGAGCGTCGCGTACACCAGCAGGAATTTCACCACCAGTGAGTATCGATCCATTCTTCGTTCGAATTTGTGGCGGGAAGATTATTCGGATCGGTTGCGAAATGTTCGACTCCCGGTATTGATTTCGGTATTGTCATTTGAACGAAAGAATTCTTTCGCAACGTTACGAATTGGAAGGAGTTTGCGTTATTTACATTATTAGTAAATGTACATTCTGGGAACTCTTGTTACCTTGATCGATGATCTTTTTACTACCCTTTTGTTACTACGGGCGGGATTTTATTCGTGTGATCAATATCATCGATGGCCAATTGACTTATTAGAGAAAAATGAAAAATTTGATAAATATAAAATTTTTAATTAAAAATGGAGTAAACGAGTAATTGATAAAATTACAATAGGGATAACTGTCGAAATAATTTAAATATTATTAAAAAATAAGTTAAAATAATACAAATTGTTAAAAAATTGTTAAATCAGCATAAAAAGAATTTGATTGTTGGAATATAAATCATAGTAGAAATGTTAATAAATTTATTTTAATTTTATTTAAATTTATTAATTTTGATAAAAGTTTTAAAACTTTATAATTGAAGCTTAAATTCAACGCACTATTCTGCCGTATTAAAATTTAGATTTTTAATTAATAATGAGATTTCCACCACAGTGGAAACTATCCACCTACAATCGCTCTGCACGAGATGTCATTGAGATATTATCGCCGATTATAGTCGCTTTGCATAAAATGCCGCGTATTCGCAAAATGAAATCACTGCAGTGATCCTTTTCTGGGGAACGTAGCATCGATATTTCGTATCAATTTTTTTTTCAATAGACACCGTCAAAGCAACTCGAAAATTGCAAAAAACGTGAATATGGCCACCGACGACTTCTCGAGCACATTTTTACTGCGGCGGAGAAGTCGCTTGTAACAAAAGGGTTAAATATAAATACGAGTGCAAAGTGATAGAAAAGGATGCGATGATATTCCCCAAATCGAACGTTTAATTTTTCCGTTTAATCGGTTCGTAATTGGATTACTTTCTTGGAGTTTGATTAAAATGGAAATTCGGGAAATTTTCTCCACGCCACGAGGCTGATTAATTATTGATGAGGAGGAGGCTCGGTGGCAAGGCGCGGTGGATTCTTTTTTCCATCTCTTTTTCAGAGCCGAACACACCGGGCAAGTTTATCGTATGGTTCAGAAACGAGACGACCTTATTGGTCCTATGGCAGCCTCCTACCCTGCTGGGATTTACACCCATTATAAAGTTAGTATAGATCCTGCAGACGCCATAGAATCTGTTCTTTACGTGGAGAAGGAAGGGGAGCCCCCTGGGCCTGCACAGGCCGCCTTCAAGGGGCTCGTTCCTGGTAAGTTATTTCTCCCTAAATCGTTTTACCCACAACGTTTCACTCGGATTATACCTTATCTCCACCTTTAGAAAATTCCTTCCCTCCTCTTCTTCCTTATTTCTAATTTCAACATCGCGTGTTTCATTCGTCTCGCGCAGGCAGGGCTTACAATATTTCGGTTCAAACGGTGTCCGAGGACGAGACCTCGACCCCGACCACGGCTCAGTATCGAACGGTGCCGTTGCGGCCCCTCAACGTCACCTTCGACAAGCCCTCGATAACGTCCACCTCGTTCCGCGTCTTCTGGAACCCGCCCGAGGGAATGTCCGAATTCGACAAGTATCAGATATCGTTGGGGGGCAACAAAAGGCTGGCCCCCGTCACCAGGAACAGGGACGACGAGAGCAAATGGGAGTTCAAGGACTTGGAGCCCGGGAAAACTTATCAGGTCGTGGTGAAGACCGTCTCGGGCAAGGTTACCAGTTGGCCGGCAAACGGAGACGTTACTTTGAGTGAGTAGATTAGGGATTAAGATCGCGGGATAGGGTTTCGTTTGAACACTTTTATTTCTCATTTCCAATGTTAATTTACATGTAATACGTTTATCTACGATTCTGCTTCTCCTTCCATGAATTAATAAGTGATCAATATTAATTACGCGATGTTTGTTTTTTACTTTTTTGACAATTTTTAGAACCGTTGCCGGTGCGCGATCTTAGCGCGGTGATCGACGAGAAGACCGGGATGGTGGAAGTTTCCTGGCACCCGGAGAACTCGAGTACCCAGGACAGTTACAAGCTTCAGTATCACGAAGTGGAAACTACGATCGGCGGTGATAGCAACATGTTGACAACCGATAAGACCAAGGTGAGAGAGAGAGAGAGAGAGAGAGTATGTTTCTTTTATTTTAACAAATGATTCTTGCGTGTTCGAGCATTATTTTTTGTATCAATTTTTTAAAAATTTCTCGTTTACAATTCAGACAATATATCCATCTTAATCGAGAATAAATGATAAACAAAGTCTTACGATTCCTCACCGAGTTGAAATTAAATTGGGAAAAGTCAAGCAGCGGAATTTAATACCTTTCACAATTTTCAGGTGACGTTGGAAGCTCTACTACCGGGGAGAAATTACTCGATAATCGTGCAGGCGATTAGCAACAAAGTGGAATCGAACGAGACTGTCCTGTACCAAGTGACGCGGCCCTCGAGCCCGATAATCGAAGATTTGAAACCGACCGAGATGGGGCTGAACATCTCGTGGAAGAGCGACGTTAACTCGAGGCAGGAGAAATTCGAGGTGACCCACAACAGAAACGACACCGGGGAGAGCGCGACCACCTTGACCACGGAATCTCACATAGTTCTCGAGGACCTCTACCCTGGGGCAGCTTACGAGGTCAAAGTTTTCGCCATTAGCCACGGGCTCAGGAGCGAACCTCACGATTATTTTCAAGCTGTTCGTGAGTGAACCTTCGTATCGAAAAAGAATCGAAATATTGGAACAAGTTCACCGATGGAAACGAGCCTATGATTTGAGAGGAAACGCCTATTTTTCTCCCTCCTCTTTTCGATGACAGATACGTTTGAATCGCTCGAAATGTTTAAAAATTATCTGTGCATAGAATTCCAAAAGTATTCTAAAATTTGCTCTGTAATATCTATAACAATGTAGCCAAGATAAAGTAACAAGATGGAAATGAAAATAATTTTCACGATTTTCAATATTCCACCTAGAATCGTGAACAAAGCGTTCGAAATAGGCGTCCTCCTTAGCCAGCTTCTTTCCACCAATGAACGAGCACACTCGATAAATTTTATAAATTAACTGTTTGCACAGTGCCTCATCCACCGAAGAACTTAACCATCGAGAAAGTGACTACGGGGAACACCGTGGTGGTTCGTTGGGAGGCGCCCACGGATTCCCTGTATTCCGAGTTCTCGATACGATATCGGACGGAGGACGACCCGAGGTGGGTGAAGTTGCCGAGTGTCCGCGAGACGGAGGCCGAGGTGGCGGATATGACGCCCGGGGAGAGATACACGATCCAAGTGAACACCGTCAGCTACGGGGTGGAAAGTCTCTATCCTCTTCAAGTGAATCACACAGTTCGTAAGTAGGAAATAAAATTCGACTCGTTTCTCCATTCGCGCGCGTCAACCTTCCTTTCCCCCTTCCACAGGATCCAACCCGGTGCTGAACATCACGCCTGTCGTCGACTCGACGAACGTGACCCTGGAATGGCCGAGGCCGGAGGGCAGGATCGAGACCTACGTGATAAGATGGTGGCCGGTGGACAATCCGGAGGACGTACGCACGAAAAATGTGACGGAGAGCAACGACGTGGCCGGTGGGCTTTACGAGGAGCACGCGACGCAGAGGGTGTTGGTTGGCGATCTGATGCCGGGCGTTCAATACACCTTCGTAATCTGCACCATCTCCTATAACTTGGTCAGTGAGATCACCAATCTGACTACGAGGACAAGTGAGTAGGCGATTTTTAAAAAAAAAAAACGAATACGATACGAGTAATTCTTTAAACGTATCCTCCGACTAATACGTTTCTCTTTTTGGATGGATTTGTTGTTGTTGTTGTTGTTGTTGTCCGGCTGTTATTTCGTCGACCAACTCGCTTCGATCACGGTATACTAACGCTGTACAATATATTCGAAACGATATCAGCTGGTCGATACTACATTCTCTCTACTAATTTTGCGCGTGTGCGTTGCGTGACACGACGACCGACACCCACCCCATACTTTTACCCTGCCACACCTTGATCTTTTTTCTTCCCAATAACCCATTCTTCATTAACTTATCATTCGTTCATTGAACTGAAAAGAAACAAATAAATGTCGAGTATGTGTAACGTGTATGTAAAAGTCGATCTGAATAAAAGAGAAACGTGGTAAATAAAGATTGGAAGGAAAGGAGTTAGAGGAGTATGCGAAACGAGGAGAGGAAGAAAAGAAATGAAAGAAAGAAAAAAATGGCGAGCCCAAAAAAAACACCGAGTGTCTCGAATTCAGTGCCGCTGATCCAATCGGAAGTGGTCGTGGTGGTCGATCAGGATCAGCCTGACTCGTTGACCTTGAGATACACATGGACCCCGGTTCAATCCTCCAAGTTCGATCTGTATCGGTTCCGGATCAGCGACGCGAGGAACACGACGAAGCAGAAGATGGTGGACGACATCGACAGGAAAGTGACCTTCACCGGCCTCACGCCCGGTAAACTGTACAACGTTACCGTTTGGACCGTCAGCGATAACGTGGAGAGCAGGCCGCTGCTCAGGCAGGATCGACTTTGTGAGTACCTTTCCGTTCCGTGAGGGACCCAATGCCCAACCGCGGTTCAATCTCTCCTTTCGACTCATAAGCAAGCGAATTAAAAGAAAGAAAAGAAAAAAAAAAAAGAAAATAATACGAGATTCTAGATT